ATTGTTTTTCGTGCCAGGAAAACGCCAGCTGCAGTTTAGAGAATACTAAATTTTCCTGGCAGGATTGTGCACATATCAGTGTTGCTATGTACACTGAAAGAAATAACTCTTTGGATTAACATAAAAAAAATCATGGAAAGGATTTCCACCTGATTACTTTGCTTTGTTTCAGCACTATGTAATTTTGTTACTCCGATTTAAAGCAAATATGTTGGCTCAACTTAATTTATTAAGGTTATTCCAATTTAAAGTAAATGTGTTGGCTCAACTTAACTTTTGAGGTTGATTCACTATTATTGAGTGTTGATTCAGAACACTCAACAATTAGAAAAGGTACAACAGAACTGTATTTTCAACATTGTTATCCATTTTCTTTTACATGTGCAGTGCAGGCACTTTACTACAAAAGGTACAAACTCTTGCCATACAGCAACCCATTTGAACATGCATTTAAGCTACGTTAATAGTTTAAATAAAACCTTTAAAGTCAGTGTTTAATTAGTAACAAGAAACATCAAAATAGTTCAGCCTACCACAATTCTTAAGTGCCAATAGTGCCCTGCCGAGAAAAACAAATAACGCACCACAAAAAACAGCTGAGTAAAACATCTTGGAAACTGATTGCCTTGAAAAATAGAAGTAAGTTTAACTGCGTACTATTCTTACGTTTTGTTTACTTAACATACATTTGTTCAGTGTACTTAAGACCTTGTTGTATGAACTTAATTGTGTCAAGTTAATTTAACTTAGTTTAGTGAATTTGTTTCAACTTAGAAATAGAAAGTAAATTATCCTCTTCTTAACTCGACTACATCAAGTTAGTCCATCTTACATGAACAGTTCAGTTTACTGAGCAGAATCTAGGAAACCAGTTGCCTTAATAAGTTAAGTCACCACAACGAAAGACTTTAAGTTCACAAGATTCAACATTTAATTTGAACAAAATGATAAACTTAACATAACAGTCAGTAACCCCACAGGAACCAGGATGAAGTCGCCATGGCATCTGGATCCTGTGGATAATAAGAAAAGCACAAATTAAAAACAGATGAAAGTTTAGATTTTTGACAAACAGAAAAGCAAAACATAGCAGAGACATTGTAGAAGTCTGTCATCGTCCTGGAGGACAACTGAGAGACATGGCAGGACAGCAGGCGTCATGGCAACAGCATCTTTGGTCTACAAGTAGAAAAACAATAAAAGCTCAAGCATATTCTGAAGAAATCACTTTTTCACAATAAGTGGCCTAAAATAATTGTTCACCATTATTTGTTGTCTCAGCCTGATTAGACTGTTGATGTTTGTCCAGTTAAAGGAGAAACAGCAACGATCCAACCTGCTATCAGCTGATTATTAAAGCCACAGGCTGTTGCTCAATCATTCATTATTTCAACAACTAACTGTGTTTTTTCTAGTCTCAGTCACCCAAATATCATCGATACAAATTCCCCCCAAACAAAGTGACTCAATATCCCTTTAATGCAGCATCAAACTGGCTGGTTATTGCAAATGACAGGATGTGAAGAGGAGTCATGTGCATGTGAGCGCGTCCAGCTGAACAACATATGAATTAAAAACATGCAGGATTTTCTTCACCTGGAAC